ACTCACCCTGAACAACTAGTATTAATCATTTATCAGTAACTTCATATATTGAACACAAATTATTCAAATCTCAATCACTCACAATGTTATACCAACTAAAACATAAAACATTATACATGTCACACAATAATAATTTAATGTCCAAAATTTAACAGACAATTAATTTAAACAATGGTATAAACATAATAACTTAGATATTAAAATTATAAATAAATTATTTACACAATCCTAAAATTCGTGCAATTGAACAGAATACTCAATGTGGATGTTTAGGTCACTTTTCAGAAAGAATTTCAAAAAAATAAGATGTAAATAATCCTGTAAAATTTCCAGCAATCTTTATGACACAGATTTGTCACATTTCCTTACATTAATTACATGCTTAATTTTATAGATCAAATCCATAATCTAAAAATTTATCATGGAAATAGACTTCTCAATTTTCATTTTTTAGTTAGAAATTACCAGATTTGGCTTAGTGTAGAATTTTAAATAAATTTTCAAATACATATTAAAATCTGTCTCACAATTTCAGATTTAGTTAAAAACTTGTATAAATTCGTAAAAAACTCAAAAATTGTTACCAAATTTTTTTGGATAAACTAGACATCATTATCAACAACTTTTTAGAAGAAATCATCTCGAAATTTTGAGTATAAAATCATCTAAAAATTCGGGTAAACATGCTGGCAGATTCAAAATAGATTATTCTCAACACAGTTTCAGATTTAGTTAAGATTTTGTATAAATTTATAGAAAGCTCAAAAATTATTACCAAAATCTCTGGTTGAACTAGACATCATTATCAACAACTTTGTAGAGGAAATCATCTCGAAATTTTGAGTATAAAATTGTCTAAAAATTCGGGTAAACATGCTGGCAGATTTAAAACAGGTTATTCTCAACACAGTTTCAGATTTAGTAAATAATTTGTATAAATTCATAGAAAGCTCAAAAATTGTTATCAAAATTCCTGGTTGAACTAGACATCATTATCAACAACTTTGTATAAGAAATCATCTCGAAATTTTGAATATAAAATTGTCTAAAAATTCAGGGAAACATGCTGGTAGATTCAAAACAGTTTAGACAATGTATCATATGTATACAATCTGAAAATTTCAATTATATAAAAAAAATGAGAAGGTTGAGAGGGTTTTCTTACCTATTAGCCTTCAAGATCTTCCTTTCTTTAATTTTTTTTTTTTTTTTAGCTTCCCATGAAATTCCTTATAGCAAAGAAAATTAAATAGGCTTCAATACTCTCTTATTTTTCACTCCCTCTCTCTCATTCTCGGCTCTCTCTCTCTCCCTCTAGGACTCTCACAGCACATACCCATCAATTGCTAACCCAAACACCTTTAACTCCTTAGTTATACACACACACATGCACCTCTCTTCTTTGCTGTCAACACAGCACACGTGCACACACTTTTTGAAGTCCACCTCAAGACTTACATGCACACACAAACAGATTTCTTTGTACACACGCTTGTGTTTCTCAGCACACCCTCACTTCATATACACCCATAATTTTTTTTTCCTTCCATAGTTTAATTTATGATTAAGATTGATTTAATTAAATAATACATATTCTTAATAAGTCTTGATTGACACAAAATTAGTTAATTATATATAATCTCAAATCCCACCTAATTTAATTAGTCTAATTGACTTCCATTAGAGTCTGATTAAATATGTATATATATATATATATTTTTTTGGGTTTTAGTATATAAAATATTAGGTTTCAGTGTAATTTGATCACAAAAAAAAAATATAGAGAAAAATATAATAAAAATATCATAAGGTTCATAAATTTATATTGAGTGATAATATAAAGTCAAAAAATATTTTATTTTATTTTATTTTAAATAAATGTTTAGTATAAAAATATACAGACTATTAAATTCAAAATATTGTGAATAATTATTTAAGAAAATTAAAAATATACATATTATTTTTATTATATAAAAATATGGGTTTTCACATTAATTATGATATTATTATTAATCTCACTCATTATATAAATTATATATATATCAATAATATTTTAAATTATATCATGTCATCAATTAATACACTAATTAAAACATTAGTCTTAAAATTTAAGAACTAATTAACCTTCCATGCACTAATTGGCATAGAGCTTGTTTGGGAAAAATATTTGGATTAAAATAGTTATATAGAATAAAAAAAAGTTATTTTAGTTAAATAATCATTTTATGTTTTTTATTACAAAAGTCAAAAAGCCTATTCTAAACAAAATTTTTTAATCCCCAAAATAGCTAAAAAGTTAAAAAGTCAACACACATTCCAATTTCCGAACAAAAATATATATATATATATTTTAGTTATCATATAGGAAAATGAGTAGGAGCACTAACTAGTGCTATCACTAATGATGTAGCAGTAGGCCCTACCATGAATGATTTGATGTTTTAGCCTTGGTGTTGTATTTTTTTTCTTTTTTTATTGAGTGCCATGTCATTAGTGGTCTTTTTAGAGCTCCAAAATTAGTGGTCTCTATCATTGTTGATTGATGTATATAGCATTATCCTTTTAAAATACATTCATAAGTCAACTTATTAATTTATTTATATCATATTACCACTTTACTTATTTTTTTAATAATAAATTTAAAATTTAGTTTTTAAGCCATTTCCTAAACTACGATGGAGTTCAGTTTATAATTGTAAATTTTAAAATATTATTTACTTTGCTTGGTTTCGATTTTTTAAAAATACTTTTGAAAAAATTTTACTTTCTTATTTTCTATATTTTTTTGTTTTTACTGAATTTTTTTTTAGTAGTTTAAGCAATTTTTTAAATTTTTAGACACAATTAGCATAAATACACTTAAAAAGTATAATTTTATGAAAAAAATCTTTAAAAAATTCACTAAATACCAAAAATATAAAAAAAGGAGGAAAATTTAGTATATTTTTTGTATTTTTGTATATTTATTAATTTTTTGAAATATTTTTACAAATATTTATTTTTTAGATACATCTAAGTAAGGTGCATCTAAATTTTTTTTTTAAAAAAATGCTTAAAATTTTAAAAATATTTACTAAAAATAAAAAAATACAAAAAATAAAAAACTCAATTTCAAAAAACTGAAACCAAACACACTGATTATTATTTATAATATAATAATCACAAATTATTATTCATGATATTTATTTATATAATTGTTTAAAATTAATTATATTATTATATAAAAGTATATTTATAATAGTAGAGAGTTATAATATATATATATATATATATATTTGATATTAATAAAATAATTTAGTATTTATATTTGATAATAAATTACATGTAAAATTTTAACGGTCCGGTTCGATTCTAACTCAAATCGTAATTATAAAATCACAGACTTAATAGTGAAATGCAATTTGCCTATTTCAAAAATCAAAATCAAGTCATGTATCAAAGAAACTAAACCAAATTATATGGTTTGATCTTGATAGATCAATTTACGATTTTTTTAATTTTTATAATCAACCCTGTTATTAACCATCATCATTTTCACCGAACGACCGACCGATCGACCAAGCGGATGACCGACAAGATAAAATTCGAGTAATTTAGACTAAATTCAAATTCGAGCTACAACAGAGCTCCAATAATCATACATTTATCACTAAAGTATGAAAAATGACTTAGACTCCAGTGGGGGTGACCCCCACCAACCCCCACTAATTTTTGATTGACTGAAATTTTATTTATTTTTTTTGGATCTTCTTCTCACTGCCCCCACATGGGGTGAGAGTGCTGGGGTCACCCACTAGGGTCTGAAGCAACGTTGCTAAAGTATTGAAGAAAAAGTGTTGAGATGCCTATAAACAAATTTTAGAAACATTAAAATAAAAAATTATATAAATAATTACACTTTTCACTTTCAATTTTTATTCAAATTATATTTTGATTTTTTTATATTTCAACTTACACTCATATTTCAAACAAATGATGACAGAGGATCACATTAAAATTTAAAGATTTAATTGTTATAGTTAAAAAATAAAGAGGCAAAATAAAAATTATAAGTAACAGTTCCATAGTGAAAAGTATAATTTGTATTGGTAAAATTCGAGAATTTAGTGGCATCTATTGATGCAACAAATATGGAAAATAGTCGGTCCCCCCCCCAAAAAATTTTTTTTTTTAGGAAAATAGCATTTAACCAGACACCAAGGCCTTGTTTGGTTTGTTTTTCTGAAAAATTTTTGAAAAAAATTCTCTATAAACAAATTTTTCGGAGTAATCAAACCAAACAAATTTTTTCAAAAAAAAATTTAAAATTTTGTTTAGTTACATACTTTCCAAAATCACTCTCTCTCTCATATACATCAAATCAATCAATTTTTTTAAAACTCACTCCCAAAACAATTTTCCAAAACCATTTATGAAAAAAGGCAAACCAAACAAGTTTTCGTACTTTTTATCTAAAAAACTACTCTATAAACACAAACCAAACACTTTTCTGAAAATTAAACCATTTAAGCCTTCGTTGCGAAGTGGGTTGGCTTTTTGATTTTTTGATTTTTTTAGCGATTTTAGCCTGGGGCTAAAAACCCTGGTTTGGGAAAGACTTTTGGCTTTTTTGTTTTTTTTGAGAGAAATAATGTAATGACTATGGATTAAATGTGATGTTTTGTCTTATTAGACTAAAAAATTTATTTTGTTTTTTGTGGCTAAAATAGTCACAAAAAAAAAAAAAAAAAAAAAAAAAAAAAAAGGTCCAAGTTTAGGCTTCCAAAACAAAGGCTGCGGAAAAAAATAAAAATAAAAACCAACCATTTTGGTATCATTTTTATATTATATATAGATTTTTTGAGTTATCTCGAAAATTATATTAGAGGCGTTACTGTGTCCATATTATTATTATATGGCTTTCGGAAACTTTGGAATAAATTTAAAATTATTGTCATTTTGTTTTATTTTATTATTATTTTTTTAATATATGAGTTCTAAGTAAACATCAAACTGAGAAAAAAATGGAACTGACAAATACATTAAACATGAATTTTGTGAAATACAACTGAGAAGTTTTATTTATCTTATGAAAGCAAGGAAGGAGTTCAACTAAACTGAAACTTATTATATGTATAGAAGTCAAAGTCACGTTGACAAAAATCTCCCACAAGTGTAATCATACACTGATTGTAAAATGCTTTTACTTTTAGAGGCTTCATCTTCTTCGGGCAATTTTAGAAGACGCGCAACTCTTGCAAATCCAGGATGCTCGTGATGCTGGTTGCTATTGCTCATCTTGTCAAGTTTCATGATCTCCAGCTGGTGTTGGTTGGAGAGTTTCGGCTTCGACAAGGCCCATTGCATTGCCCAGATAGCCAACGGACGCATATAACCCAGAGCTCTGTATTCCTCTTCGGTATTCCAGCCTTCTGGAGTTTGAAAAGCAAAACTGTAGTGTACAATATTACCAGTCAGTAATATATTATACATCCAAAGTGAACTGCCACAAAAAATGAAGGTGAAGGGTCCATATATATAGGGTGTTTCAACTGTTAGAACAATTGAAGAAGGGAAAAAAAAAAAATAGATGTCATTCATACATAGCATAGTCCAAGCGGACCCACTTCAAATCTTTACTGAACTATGACCGGCTATCTTATTAGAAAATAAACGCATTCGATTAGGTCAATGAGTACTAAAAAACAGGTGCTAATGGCAGTGGGACTCCATCGGGTAATGAGAAGCTTAAAAAATGAATGGCTTGATCATAATCAACCAGTAAAATGAGAACCTTGAAATCAACAGACCAGCTGGTCCATTAAAAAATGTAATAAGTTTTTTGTTTGTTTTTTTATGCCCTGAAGTTGAGCATTTTTTAAAGTCGGTAGGCAAGGCATTACAAGGATGTGAAAGTAGGGTCGTCAGATATATATTTCTCTTTTATTGAATGAGTCTCCTCTTGTAGGCCTCAAATTCTGTGATGGAAGGCATTTCAAGAAGTTATATGGAGCAAGAACAGAGCTGGTATTATCCATCTAGCCAGGGTGCAGTTCAATGTGTAGTGCAGACATCACCGTTGATCACTAGAGAAAGATTAAGCATGGTTATGCACTAAAATCCTAAGATGCCATTTCTTCAAATTAAGGAATCATCGGGGGGAAAAACGTGACTTTTGCATTAACTAAAATCCCATCTAAAAAGCAAAACTACAATTTACTATCATGTAAATCACTTCAGAGGAGTGTAGATCATATTTGACTATTCATTCCTAACAGTATAAAAATACATTGAACATTTTTAAACAACTTATATATACAGAATAAGATTTTCTCCTGCTGGTGCCAGTTTCTAGCCATGGCTGGGACAGCTAAGCTGTAGGTTAAGATGGTATAAGTTGCTTCATTTTGAGGGAAATGTACAACCAAGCTGAATATTTAAACCAATGGTAACTATATGTTAAGTATATAAAGCAATTGGATCAAAATCACCAGTTGATGCCTCTAAAAGGTGTTCAAAATTTTCAATTATTCATTAGTTGTAAAAATAAAATAAAAAATATATTTTTACCTTGTAGCATTGTTGTGTATATATATTTTTCTTTTGAAATTTATTTTTTTGGTCAATTACATGGACAACCTTCCACTATCACTGAACATTACAGTAAAACAAACTTATATGTTAAAATGAAGCACCTAATTTTGATCTTTGCAGCTTTGAGTAAGAGTTAAAAGGAGAGAAGACAACTCACCCAAGACCTTTCTGGGACCAAGCCATTTCATAGACACCAGATGCAGTCTGAAAAGCCATTTCAGTCATGTCCTCATGAATCATAGCAGCAGCAACAGAATAAGTAACTCCAGTCCAAATCTCTCTCGATTGCATAGCTGACATGTCAACACTTCCATCTGGCAACATCCCATTGACCGCCCCACGTGTCCCTCCCTTTACCTTTAACACGTTGAACCTGTAAATTTTCTCAAGTGCACTCCTTGCTTTGTCTTCATCAGCAATTGGTAAAAGACCACTGGCTCTTGCATACCTAAAACAGATTAGAAGAAAAATAAGACCATCATGTTTCTACGTCATACACCAAAACATTAACCTGTTAAAATGTGGAGATTTCATTTCTTAAACAAGAATCACCTTCTTTTCTTTTCTTTTTTTTTTTTTTTTTTTTTTTTTTTTTTTTTTTTTTGGTGTGTGTGTGTGGAAGATTTTGTGATAATCTTGGAGGGTTAGAAACCCTTTTCTCTTTTACCTTTTCAATCTTCTTAACATTTTATTTGCTGCACATTAAAGATAGTTCACTACTAAGAACTGGTTTGGCAAATGCTTTTCAGTAATTTTTTTTCTTTTTTCTTTTTTTCTTGAAAAGTTTGTAAAAGAGATGATGTGTTTGGAAAATGCTAAAAAAGTTGTTTTTTGTTATGGGAAAAGTTCATGTGGTTTTGATTTTTTTTTTTTTTTTTCGTTAATTTTTTTGATTTTTGTTTTTACTTTTTGGATCCTTCTAAACTAGAAGGACAATAAATAACAAAAAATATATATATACAAAAGATTAAAAAATTCAGAAAAAAATGTGCCTTTTTTCCTCTTTTGTCATCTAAATCAACAGAAACCAAACAGTTTTTATTTTTTTGGGGGCTTAAATAGCCAAAAAGTGAATTTTTTTTTTTTAGCTAAAAACAAACAGAGTGGACGTTTTGTTGAATTAAGTAGATATGAGAGTTTTGAAATCAAAATGATTGATCCAGGGATGTCTATTGATAAACTGAGACAGAAAATTGGATTTTTGTTGCATCTAACCCAATATCTAGCATAGTATGTATCCAAAAAATAAATAAAAATCTGTTAAAACCTATCACCTACTTCACTCACTTAAACCTACTCCACTAAACCTAACCCACTACACCACTACCACCTCACCTACTCCACTAAACCTAACCCACTACACCACTACCACCTCCACTTCACCTACTCCTTACCTACTACACACTCACCCTCTTCTATATATAGGAATCATGAATCATTGTAATAGATATATCAAAAAAAACATCAATCAATAATACATAAATTCTTACAAAATCTAACATGGTGAATTAGAGTTACTTCTAGATGACCAAAGAATTGGTAATAATGTAATTGACAGACAGAAACAGCTACCCAACTACTAACCTAGTCAATGCCACAGACAATGCATAGAATGATCATCAAAAAAATCAGTTCGTCAAATGTAATAATGCCGTAAAATATTTTGTACTCACCAATGCCCGGCCAATTGATCAGCCTGAATAGACGAACTTGAATTACTGCTACTATTGTCATAATTGAAGTACGAACCATTCCACAAGTCATTGTAGACAACCTTTGCCTTCAGAAACTTAGCCCAAAAGTAGTCAGCAGATAAATTATCACCAACTTCACGTGCGATCGCTGAAGCAGCTTGGAGAGCCGCAACCCAGAGCCCACCACAATACGCACTCACACCGGTAACAGTCCATGCATCATATGTTTGATCGGGGAATCCTTCATTTTCAATCATCCCATCACCATCCTTATCAAACTGATCCATATAAGCCATTGCAATATACACCGAGGGCCAAACAGCTAGTGCAAAATTTTTGTCACCAGTGATAACAATATCTCTATAAACTTGAAGGACAAACTTAGAATTCAAGTCCTTCCATTTGTCTGTATTAAAGAAGTTGTACGCGTTTACTGCAAACCAAGGATCATTTAGACCGATATCATGGGGAACAGCGCCAAGAACCTTCCGCGGGACCCACTTTCCGTCGCTCAAAATTTTCATTTTAGTTGGATCATGCATCAATACTCCTAATGCAAAATCTCTTTGGATACTCAGTTCAAGTTTTGGGAATAGCATGAGTAACGCGAAAGATGAATAGAAATGGACATCATAAGTGTTCCACATGTGATACTCAATCCCTTCGAGGTAAAGGAACTGACCGATATTCTCTTCTCCGTCTTTAACCAAAAAGGCTCCGAAAGCAGAGTTTGATGTTATTGGAGAGTGTGTGTGTTCAAGTATCGATGCCATCCTCTCAAGAATTTCAGCAGCAGTGTCGTTTTGAAGGGCAGTCTTAATTGTTTTGTCAATCTTTGGTCCAGAGTTATGAAGAGTAAATTTTCTCTCTCTAATAGTTGTAAGGCTCTGCATTGGAGGTAATCCATCTGCAGAAAGCCAAAAGGAAAAAGCGACCTTATATTACACTGAACTAGGTTTATTGCCATTTGCCAATAGATTCTAAGATGCACAAATACCTGTCCAGATTGTTCCTCCTGCATTAAGATAATAGAGCTCATTGAAAAGAGTGATAGGGTACCTGCGTAAAAACTTTATAATATTTAGCAACGAGGGTTGTGTCCAGTTCTGTGATCGGATTTTGTGCACATAGAAGCATTGTGTTTAGAATTTATGATTAAAAAGGTGGAAGACCTTAAATATATGTTTAGCACCACTTGTTTCATCTTACCATTCAGGAAACCTTTTGTCTTCAATTATTGGTTTCTGCCAAGCTTCAATCTGGGACTCCCATTGGGCATGCTCTGGTCCCAAAAGGGGCACAATAAAAAAAAATTAGATTATTTTACCACCCTCAAATATTTCGAAGTGCATCTCTCTCTCTCTCTGTTATTTGTTTTGTTGACTTTGAAATGTTTCCTACATATAACATTTTTTGAAAAATATTTTCTGCCAAAACAAATGGAGCACAAGTACTACAACTAATTCTGTGGTGAAGATTACCAAGGATAGCATCGCGTGCAATGGTTGCTGCTGCATCCCCACGAATGCCATAGAATCTTGTGTACCGCCTGCCAAAATCTACCATTAAAATTTAGGTGATATTTTTGCAGAGGATATATCTGATAATATTACGGAGGCAACCGACCTGTGGTAAGTCTTTCCACTAGAAAATCTTGCTTCCGGGCACGCCCATGCTATTGAGAACGTAACAGTGCGGGCTGTGTCAGAAGGAATAGTAAGAGAAGCAGCTATGGCAGCTCCAATAGATGACCCTGGCTCTGAAGGCTTTGAAGCTTCTTCGTAGTTGAGGTGGTCAAATGACCCATGCTATCAGGAAAAGAGAAAAGTAAAAGGATTAAGATTGTGAATGAATGTGAAACAACAATGGAATAAAATTAATCACAAATTTTACGATTCAAAGAAGAATGGAATAAAATTTTCTTTTGGTATCTAGCTTCAAAATATGCACCATAAGCAAGAAAACAAACAGCAATACCAAAACACACAATAAGTTGCTTACATTATTACTTCATATGGAAAGAAAATAATAGAATTGAGAAGATCAGCTAACCTTCTTAATTTCATGCCACATGTCTTTTGCTGTGATTCCCTGAGAATTTCCAGATGTCAAGAAGCAAGGACATGTCGAGACATGAACCTCAGGCGTCTCCTCAGCAGCAATTGCAAAAGTCACTGGAGGCCGTCCGTTTGCAGTTCTGAATAGATCAGACTTGGCATTAGAAATAACAAGTGGTGAAGCTGTCAAATAAATAGCAAGAATCATTTAGGTAGTCTTTGGATCAAGGATTTGATGAGGAATTTGTGAAGGGAAAAGAAGATGGAAGGGAAAAGTGAACAAAATTTAGCTTGTATTTCAATTGCTTTTCCCTTTGTTTTTCCTTTCCCTCCACAAATCCCTACTCAAATCTTTGATCCAAACACAACCTTAACTGGTTGAAAGTAAGAATCTAGGACTTCTTGTTTGGAAATAGGGAAGGAACTTGCTTGTGATGCAGAAGTACTCCGTGCACACCATCTTTCATCCTAGCACAAAGGCATTGTAAGTCAGATCATAAAGTAAAGTTAGCTTTGGAGAATTGGCCAAAAAAATGCTGATGAGAATTCATAACATTTGGGGGAAAAAATAATATTCTTACATCATCTTTGAATTGGAGTGATGGCCAGAAAATTCAGAGACCCCACCTACTGAATTCTATACACACACAAAACAAAAAAGAGAGGATGTAAGTTGTCCTTTCAATTATCATTAAACATGTCAAACATTCTATGCTGCTTTTTGATGATATGGAGACACCAGTCAAACACCACCAAAAATTGCAGAGCAATACTTAAAATGTGCAAACACTAGATGAAGATTCCACAATTACACTGGAAACTAATTCAATATTCATTTATTTCTCCATCCATCCTCTCTCTCTAGGACAAGTTTTCACAATTAGATGACTTTTTTTTCAGATGAGTTTGAAAGCTTTGTTTGGTATTAATTTTTCATTTTTGCCTGGGACTGATCATTAGTTTATATTGAATTTCAAACAGATTGAGAAAAACATGGAAGTTGATTTATGAATATGTCCAAATTAAGGAGTTAAAATGAATATGAATTATGTATGAGAATATTTTAATTCTAGAAAAAAAATCCCAAACTAGGGTTATATTGCCACATCATATGACACCTAAGAAAAAAAGTGGGCCAACAAACAGTTCTCACATAAAGCTTCCACTTTGACTAATGGCTTTCAATGCCTCAAATTAACTGAAGATTTTGTATTATTGTGCAAATAAAAAGTCTCGACTTTGATTGAAGGGTTTTCAAATAGATAAAAATCCTGGCTCAAGTACTTGCATTACAAAATCTCAATGTTCAATAGCGATTAAAAAATAAAAAATCCTAAAGCTTCCATTCTTGATAAAGGCTTTAAAACACTCCAATTGAAGTGGTGATTATTTTCATTTGTAAGATGGTTCCCACTTACTCTCTTTCCTACATGGCACATGATGTGGCAAAACCAACTCTAGATTGGAAAATAGTTTATAGTCTACACTAATTAGTGAACTTTTTTCGAAGAGAACAATGTTTTGGTCAAAACGCAAATGAATGAATATGCAAAACGAAAACTTTTAACTTACAGCCCATGTGAAAAGCAAGGTGACATCTACAGCAGATTGTCCTGAATTAGAAAGCTGTGGAAAATATAAAGCAACAGCTTAGGACCAAGACACTTTCTAGATATGTCACAATTTTTATTTCAGCAGTTCTTTCTTACCTCGAAAGTAAATACTGCCACAGGGAAGCTGCTCTCCTTATAATTGTGGGGAATAAATGGTGATATCTGACGGCAAACAATGCTGAGTTCGGGGTCAGATTGAACTGCATCCGAGAAATTAAGTAAAAGGTTAAGTACTAAGTACAAAATATGGGGATCTCTTATTGTTAATGCTACAAGATTTAGAAGTCTAAGAATACCATCATATACAGTCCAAGATCTTGGATACAAAGCATGATATGTACATCTCTCCCCATCTAGGTTCCAATCCCATGATTCAATGCCGGAACCTGTACTTGTTCTGCAAATCCCAAAAATTATACTACAATATTTGCCCATGCTTTTGTTTCTTATCACATTTCTACTAGGATCCAAGAGAAGCTTTTCAATATTTTTGAGCAAGATAAACAAATAAAAGAAAACAGAAAGACAATTTGTCCTCGAGAATGAAGTGTATAAATAATTTGACTTACTTGGACACCTCTGAACTCCTGGGGCACAGTACAGTGGAGTATTTGACCCCGTTTGGGCGCGAAGCGAAAACCTATCAAGGCATCAAACATTTTGAAATTGTTAGGAAAGAAACAATTAAAACAAAACTTAAAGCTGTTTGTCTTCCTTGTTCCTTCCTAATAGGACATTTTTTTTGTTCAAAACAATATCAAGCTCTTTCACATATAACCCTTGATCTGCAGCATAAAAAGAAAGATGCATATAGGAAAAGCTATTTGATAGATTTAAGGGCCTAGTAATCAAGAACATGAAATAGACAGGAACTTATATTGTTATGTTAGATTTGACAGTTCAAGAAATTGAAATTGCTTTATAATATGTCCAATTGCTGATGTGGCTGGTTAAAATTTTTAAATAAGATCAAGTACAAAACACCTAACCTCTATGCTGGCAGCACTCCTAGAAGACCTCCCGCACATTCGTACCCATACACACAAACAGGTGCCAAAGCATTAATGTGTGGACTTCAGAAAGTATCATCTTCTATTGTTATATCTTTCTTTTTACTTCTTTTGGAGGTGTTTGAGAAGTGGATAGCAGTGTTGCGCCTGATCAAGGTCAAATATGTTTACTACACTACCATCTCACCTACTCCACTAAACCTAACCCACTACACCACTACCATCTCACCTACTCCACTAAACCTAACCCACTACACCACTACCATCTCACCTACTCCACTAAACCTAACCCACTACACCACTACCATCTCACCTACTCCACTAAACCTAACCCACTACACCACTACCATCTCACCTACTCCACTAAACCTAACCCACTACACCACTACCATCTCACCTACTCCACTAAACCTAACCCACTACACCACTACCATCTCACCTACTCCACTAAACCTAACCCACTACACCACTACCATCTCACCTACTCCACTAAACCTAACCCACTACACCACTACCATCTCACCTACTCCACTAAACCTAACCCACTACACCACTACCATCTCACCTACTCCACTAAACCTAACCCACTACACCACTACCATCTCACCTACTCCACTAAACCTAACCCACTACACCACTACCATCTCACCTACTCCACTAAACCTAACCCACTACACCACTACCATCTCACCTACTCCACTAAACCTAACCCACTACACCACTACCATCTCACCTACTCCACTAAACCTAACCCACTACACCACTACCATCTCACCTACTCCACTAAACCTAACCCACTACACCACTACCATCTCACCTACTCCACTAAACCTAACCCACTACACCACTACCATCTCACCTACTCCACTAAACCTAACCCACTACACCACTACCATCTCACCTACTCCACTAAACCTAACCCACTACACCACTACCACCTCCACTTCACCTACTCCTTATCTACTACACACTCACCCTCTTCTATATATAGGAATCATGAATCATTGTAATATAGATCAATACAATCAATCAATAATACATAATTCATTCTCTCCATTTCTCTATACATCAAATTTAACACATTTCTCTATACATCAAATTTAACATGTGGCTATGTCTGAGTCACTGCTCGAGCAATCCTCGAGCAGTGGAGCACTGGAATCTGGATTTGGCTACTGGAATTGTTCGCTCAAACAGTGAAGTGTTCACTCGAGCAGTATGTACAACTTAAGTTTGTGAAAAGTCGCATTTTGTCAATTTTTGGGTGGCTCAAGAGCATCTTTTGCTCAACCTATGTAAAGGAGGGTCCAATAAATTTCATCTCCCTCTCTCTCTCTCTACACATTGTGTGAGTTCCATATAACTAGCGATTCAGAGGCTTTGGAGTTGGTCTGTGCAGCTTAGGTTGCGTTTGTTATGTGAAGATTCACAGTTCAAACTACAAGATTGATGCTAGTACCCTGTTTAGCAGACAATCTGGTAACCACTGACCCTATCAAATAAAAATGCACAGCTTTAAAATAAGCTTATTACCCTCCAACAGATGAGAGACAATAAAAAAGGAGACATCAACTGAAAATCTATAATTACAGCAGCATTTTAGGTTAAATAATTCATATGGAATCAAATCATTTAATATACTTACTGAAAATTGGTTTGCTAGAACTGGGGCATGTTCACATACTCCAGGGAATAGTTGATAGCGTTGAAACTCACCTCTGTAACTTCTTCCAATGCTTCCTGCACTGAGGAATGATGATTTCAAGCATAAGGAAATTATTAGAATATGTAGGCTTCACGTCAACATTGACATGAGACACTATAATTAGGATGATAAAGGTTTTGTGACGGGATGGACAAACCCTCTATCACATGTATAGTGATTGCAAATGGCAAGATGGGAATGTTCACTTGATCACTCATATGATAGGGGCAAATAACAAGAAGCATCCGGATTTTATTTGGTTAGTAAAAGAGCAATTCTAGAGACCCAAACTTTTTCACTCACAAATCCACCTACAATGATATGACAAAAGGTGGGACCCTATATTATTGTAACAAATTAAAAGTTGACACATATGATATCACATCATTATGAGTATAATTGTAATTTTTTTTTTTTTTGTGGGTCTTAAACATTTTCCTTAGTAAAAGTAGGACTAAACAGCCAGTAAGCCTAAGCCCAAGACAAGTTCCTTGAGAACAAACAACTCTTATATTTTATATTATATATATATATATATCTATAAGTGCACATATATATGTAAAGACTTACACAATGCATGAGGCTCTCGCTAAAATGAGGTCTAGGGAGGGGCCCCCTTACCTGTAATCCCCAAACCTAGATGCAAATGGAATTTGCTCCCATTCATTTGGTGACTACCAAAATTATACCAGCTAGGTTAGCTAGCACCCCTGACTTTTGGAAAATTTAAAAGTGTAGGTTAGTGCGGATCCGGATCACATATGGAGTGCTCTTAGAATACTTTTTAAGTTCTATTTAGGGTTCCAAAGAAATGTTCTATTTGGGGGGATAGGGTAAATCCTAAGGTCAATGTATTTACTTGACTATGAACATCTAGATATTTCAATTAGTGAACTAAAAATGGAAACTTTTGGATTTTGTTGTTTCTTCGACTTTTGTGTGTGTTACAAATGCAATAATATTATTAACAAATGATTGCTCTACAAGTTTAAGTTGTTAGACAAGATGTAACTTGACATGAGACTCTTGGAGTAGCGTGGATCCTGATAAATATTGATCATTAATCACTTGAATTTTGGAGTAAGGGTATTTTCTTATTCTGCACTTGTGTCCTATTGCCCTAATTTCTATTATTTATAGTTCAGGAGGCAACGACCATCTTTGTATCTTGTAATTCTCGTACCATCGTGAAAACTGTAATAGCCGTGGACGTAACCCTAACCACATAAATCTCTATGTTCTTCGTGTGTGTTTAATTTATCATTTCTTATTTGTATTTTGTGTCTCACCAATCCTGATTAGGTGTATCAATTCTTAACACGGATAACTATGAACTTCTCTAAATTTTATTCTTAAAGACTCTGAACTTTTGGAAGGTGATTTCAGTGATTTAACCACAATAGCAGACAAAAGTTCATACCATTTTTTTTTTATAACTCGGAATCCAACCCATTAGACCAACTAATTTGGGAGACCGTCCACTTGCCAAGATCCCAATTAAAGTTCATACCAGTTACACATACACAGTTGTCAGTAAGTAAAAGTGCACACCTACCCAATACCGCCTAGAGGAATACCATGATAACATGTGACCGGCTGCTGATCAATTAATATAGCCTGGAAATTTATAACAGGAACGCATTATAGTGGTAGACAAAATTAGAATGAAACTTGAAAAAAATAAATAAACAGTTTAAAAGCCCATCAAATGAATATAGAAACAACTGCATGAAGAAAGAAGTAATACCCCTCCTTTAGCAGTTTCTTCTTTAAGATGCTGCCACAACCGGTAAATGAACGCAGCCTTCCAAATTTAAATAAGCATAAGACATTGTATAAATAATAAATAAATAGAAACCTCAAACTAGCAGGAGTATACACAATAGTGAATGACATTGATAAAAGAAACCGATGCCACTATTCTTTAACTACTAGAAAGAATGAGTTTTATTAGCTCTATTTTATGTTGTAATCAAATTGTAGTTAGCTAACTATCAGGGGAACATGCTTCCTCTTAAATAAATTAAAATCATAATTTACCTTTCCCACACTTCCTTTGGCTGCACAGTGAATTAGTCAGTCAGATAATCGATTGTTTTATGCATAGACGCTATTTTCATTTCAGTATTGTCACAATTCCTTCCATGATCGCTGCCTTTTCCAAATGCGACTTTAACCATCGTAATTGTAAAATTTTGTTTCAACAAACAATTGGCAGGTTACATTCATGCAACATTTTTCTTTGGTAGTTAGTTTAGGAGACTAGAACATCATTTATACATAATTACAGGGATATTATAGGCATACCATGTACAACTTTTCTCCAAATTTTAAGGTGAACTCTGAAGGAATGATACTGTCGTAATTCAATTTTCGTTGCCAAGTCAGAGGAGCAGGTTTCCCAGGGTCAACCTAAAAATGGGAAGTCCAGAAGGAATTGTGAGCAAAAGAAGACCTTTGAGGTTATTACAACACAAATTCTGGCAAAGTAACAACAGTTTATAGTTGAAAGTTCACATTAATATTACATTCTAATACCAAAATCATTTCTCTATCTTTTTTATTATAAAAAATAAAATGAAAAAAGAAAAAAGAAGTGGCCTCAAGGATAGTTCCAGCATGTCTAAAGCTTAACTGGCATCTAAAAGACTTTTGTTGTCCCCCATTTTTCAGATTCACTAATTACAAAACAAAATGAAAAATAAGTTAAAGAAAATCCATAATCAGTGTGACCTATACATGTGTTCATCTAGAGAATCCACATTACGACAAGGCAATCTTCACAGTTCTAAAACTGATTAAGACGGGACTCCACAAGAAGATAAATCTTATGAAAACTCCCGCATTTACTCTATCAAAATCTTACTCTATTAATCGAAACGGAAATTATGTAGAATATCAAGTCATGTCAAAATAAGTTAGAAAGACTATAAAAAGTCACTTTAGCGCCATGGGCAAGTGAAAATTACTCAATATGTAACGATAAAAATCCATTTCTTTTTCTTATCGAGGGCTAGACAACAAGTGAATTCCACATACTTGTTTGGATTAATACACACCAAAAAGTCAAATCAAAGAAAAAGAAATGAGCAAACAGATAAAGTATTGCTATTGAAATGTCAGGGTAATTGAACCACTATGTTACATGGACTCTTCAAATTAAATCAAATACCCGTGTCGGACATCCGACACTCGGACAAGGGTATGGGATATGTGTCGGATACTTTTCAACGGATACTTCTTATATAATTGTATATAACACTATTATTATATATATATATTGTTATATAATTGCTATAAATGTCATTTTGACACTATAAGTTAAATATAATACCATTTTATCTCACATATTAGATTAAAAATATAAAAATATGACATTTTTTTGCCGAGTCCGCGTATCTTTAAATTTATGATTTGATGAGTCCGACCTCTAGATACATACCCACACCCGACACCCGTACCCGAGTCCATGTAACATAGTTGAACCATGAGCAGCCAATAGAATCACCAATACATAAAAAACTTGATTAGTTGACAAAGCATTTTTTTTTTTTTCAAGCTCTACCAATACTAAATCACTAATTCAGCAAAATTTCCAATAATACTTTAAAGAAAAATGATGATATATTGCAGTGTCTCGCAGGCAACCTTCTTCAAAAGGCATTCATGATGGCAGAACCAAAAGCATAATAAAACAAACAAATGTAAAGTTTGCAGCCTAAACTTTGGGATATTTGCTTCAGCATGAATGCCAAAAGATCTACATTGGCATGACTGAAGAGAGCCATAATGCAAAATGATAAGCTACCACATTATTTCTGTTAGCCAAAAGGTAAAGCAACAATTTTACATCTCAATAGAATTTTTGACAAAGATCATGCATTACTTGTCATCAGAACAGTTTCAACATCAATAACAGAATCCAGAAACTATATGGTCATGCACAAAAATGATGGTTCTAGATACAAATTACAATAAATAAAATGTAATCTTAATCCAATCAATGGGAGAAAACTGCGAATTAGACGATTTCAAGACCATAGGAGACTCCTAGGAAATAATTTAATAAGCACTTTGTATAATAAACATATGAACAACCTACCTTCTGCATAGAAGAATTAGAGGAAGGTTCCTTGTCCCCATCTTTTAAAGCGTTTTCCGGCATCTTGCCTAATTGAATAAGACTCATATAAATCATATTAGTCAGCAATTAAATTAACTTTTTGTAGAAGGAGAAAATAGAAAAAATAAATAAATAAAATGGAAGCAGATACTAAAATATTAAGAGGCAGAGGGTATATGGATGCAAGTAAATGGGGGTAAGATATCAAAATTTAAGTTGATTTACCAAAACTTTACATTAACAAACAGATTACATTGGGTAAAAAATAATCCAAAACTTTCCCAAAAGCCAATGGAATTATCATAATTGAATTTTCCCCAGCATAATTTTCGTAGAACGTAAGAATTGTTCAGAAGCAGTGTATCAACAGAAAAGGGTTCCTGAAAAATGTTCCAACTTTGTCCCTTTGGTTGAGTTTGATTGTGACGAAAGTGGTGGAAAGTGAGCGAAAGATAAAAAATGAAATCTTTTATGAGTTGTTTAGCATGAGAGTCGGTGGAAAAAACACAAGAAAATTTAAATTTGTCCATGCAAAGAGTTACTTATAATTAAAATTCCAAAATTTTCTCTCTTCTTCCTTAAAAAAATTTTATTCTAATCAAATACTTGCAAGAAAATTTATTTTCCTTTCCACTTCTTTTCTTTAACTTCACTCTCTACTTTTTCATTTTACACCATTTTTTTTCTTTCTAATCAAATGGAAAGCTCCATTAATCTTGATGGATATCATAACAATAACATGACTAGCTTCAAAACAACTGGTTAATGATAAAAACTCAGTTACAGTACTTAAAATATGTCTTCTTCTTGTTCTTTTTTATATCAATTCAATCAAAATGGTATTTTGATCATTCTAGACTTTCATGCTCTATAATATCCTTTTTTTGAGAGATGATTTGGACACCAAACCAATCACTTTGGATCATAATTTCCAGATTATTATTGTAAATTTGAATACAAGCAAAGAGAACTAACAAAATCATTCAACTGCAAACAAACAAAAATTACAAACTTAACATAAAAACATATATGGATTCACATGCAAATGGAAATGAGAGATCATCAAATAATAGACATTAGAAGTTGGAACAAATACATGATCAAGAAAACTTACACCCAGAGAGAGAGAGAGTTTGTGGTCTGATCTGGAAAGGTCTGTTATGAAGGAGGGGGAGTGTCATGATTCATGTTTGAGCCTGTTTGTCTTTTCGTAAGAGTGGTGAAAAAGATAAAATATTGTTGAATTATTGAAAGAGTCATATTTTTTTTTTATGGCAATGATGATTTGTCTACAATCCACAATTATCCACATGACAAAAAATTAATTCGATAATTATAACAATGTAACTTTATCATAATTTTTTTAAAATAAATAATCTAATTTCAAAATTATGCTAGTTATTTAATTTTTTTTATGACAAATATAGTTAAATTATATAAGCATTATTATTGAATTTTCAAAGATTAGGGTGCGTTTGGTTTGTGTTTGGTTTGAAGTTTTTGAGATAAAAAGTACAAAAATTTGTTTGGTTTGCTTTTTTTTAGAAATGATTTTGGAAAATTGTTTTGGGGAGAGAGTTTTAAAAAAAAAGTGATTGATTTGATGTGTATGAGAGAGAGAGTGATTCTGAAAAATAGGCAACTAAACAAAATTTTGAGATTTTTTTTGAAAAAATTTATTTGGTTTAATTACTCTTGAAAATTTATTTATAAAGAATTTTTCTCAAAAATTTTTCTGAAAAACAAACAAAACAAGGCCACTAAACTGTGTTTGATTAAAAGATTTAGAAAAAATTTTAAAACATAAATATTTAAAATTAAATAAAATATAAATATATTTTATTCCTATTACATCGTTTTCATTTTGTATTTCAAATACCAAAAACAGCCTTGAGTGGCTAGGTAGTCCCACATAATTTCCTTCTAACCACTTTTCTTTTCTTTGTCTCTCTACTCATCCAACCAACCACTCATTGACTGTTTATCTTAAATCAAATCATTACCAACCACATTTTCAAAACCAAATCTACAACAACTCTCCAGCGATCAATTGTTGTGGCTCCACCATTATCATTCCCTTCAACAGAGGCCACTATACTCAAGCCTGCCAATAATAATAAATTCAAAATATTGAATCTATTTGAAGTACAAATTGAAAATTTTTATTGGGCCATTTATAACTTTTTACATTATAATTTACTTTTTTCTATATTATGATTTTTATTTAAAATTCATAAAACTATTTTATTTATTCTACTAATTTAATCTGTGTGCTTGGGAAGCTGGTTTATAATCAAAAAAATCAAAAAATTATTATAAATTACCATATCAATCTCTCTATTTTCAACTTTTTAAACAATTTTTCATAAAAAAATCAAAAATTCAACTGACGTAATCAATTCTCAAATAAAAGAATTTTAATTACTCCATTAAACAACTAAATTTGGCAAACAAAATTTTAGTTTGGTTTAGGCTAAAATTCACAAAAAAATAAAAATAAAAATAAAATATACTAAAATTGTTAATAAGTCAAAAAATCACATCAAATTCATAATCATTGTATTTTTTTTACAAACATTACATTTAATTACAAAAAAATTCCATCATCTTTCCTAATACAAAAATTTTAACCTACTAAAATAATCAAAAAATAAAATACCTCATTAAAATAACAATTTCTCAAACACCAACAAGGTATAATTCTATATTTTTGTGGAAAACGAAAACACAATTTTACTTCAATATCATTTTGATTGGTGGGTCTTTTTCAGATTCCTTTTGTGTCAAAAATTGTTTGGTACAATTTTGACATTCGTGCTCTATAATTAGGTCAATGAATATAGTTTCTTAAAAAAGATATAAACCAAAAATTTGGTAAGAGCATCTCTAACCGTTTATTTTTTTTTATTATTAAATTTGAGTAAAAAATAGGTTATTTTTGTTGGAATAATTTTCTGTGTAAATAAAATAAATTCAAATTAATTCAAATAAAATAAAATAAAACTTACAGTATTTATTTTGTAGAACCGAATAAATAATTAAAAATCAAGTTGAGTGTGTGACACTCTGTCCTTAAGACAGATTCGTCTCGCTACAGTGCTTATGGTTGAGTGGCATCTATCTCCTAGGATACAATGATCTTAACCAACTTATAGTAGCATTCCAAAACAAATTGTTCGGCGAACCAAACCTGTATTCTAACTCTCTGATTATATAATCTAAAACTAATATATGAAAAATAAATGCACTAGAGCAAAATCTGGACAGCAAAGGCATCAAGTAGATTGATTTTCGGAATATAAAAAAGGCTGGACAGTGCTGGTATATATAGAGCCGAACAGGTGCAGAAATTTGAACTGAACAAATGTGGTTTCAAAATGAACAGGTGCAGCCTAGAATTGAACAGGTAACTGCTTGAAATGTTGATCTGTTTGAACTGTTTGAATTTGTTCAAACAGTGCAGTTTCGAACAAAAACTACTGGGTAATTAAGAGCAGTTTTATTCAGTTAAACTGTTACAAATTCGGATTGAAGGAGACTCAAGTGTTTGGACAAAAAAATTTGAAATTCAAATTTGAATTAAATTCTCGTAATAATTTTTTTTGAAAGAATTCAAATGAATTTCGTCCAAAAAATTAATACAAGAACCGACCCACAACCCACACCCGGCCCGGTCGAACGGACGGCGGCGACGGCGGCGCGCACATGTGTGGTGGTTTGGGCTAAGGTTCACTTTGTCTGTAACTCCTCCCTTCTACAAACTTGAAGTGCCCCTTGGGGCCAAACCCAAGTATTGTAGGCTAGAGCTTATATACACAAATAAACTCTCTTAAAGTTTCAATGTGGGACAACCCTTTCCAAAAAAACCCATATTTACTTCATTAAATTTCCTATTCCACGAATCCGAAAACGACGTCATGTTTCCATTCACTCATAAATGGTTTTGACGAACCGTCTTCACCGTGTGACTTGTCACGCGGCAAGGAACACTTCACCTCTTCGGACCCACCCCAAAAGAGGGTCTACTCAATTTTGGGCTCAAAGTCGGCCTAAAATAAGCCTATATAAACCAATTATCCAACAATTCTCCACATGAATGGAATTTGACGGAGAAAAAATGCAACAACATGATCTAATTACAGAGAGTACAGAAATTAGAAATATTCTGCAAAGGATAGATAGCTTTTGGCTTTGAACGTTCCCTTATGAGACACTATCGGATTTACTAGCTAACCAGTGAACATGATGTCTTGAATTGTTCAGCCGTTTGTGTAAACCAAGACAATAGAACTCACACAGTATATCCCCAGACACAGTTTAGTTCTTACTATTGTGTTCATTTTGGCTTTGAACAACCTGGTTTTTCATGAGTGCTTTAAAGACTTGTAGCCCTTCACAAATCTTATAGAACCGGCCCAGTTCACACTCACATAGGTGATTCTTATGAAAAGTATTCTGCCATACTCCACTAGATTTTACCTAGATATAAGAATCATTAAAAGTTTAACTTAACCTAAAACGCTGCAGACATCACTATTTCAACATAGAAATTGGTAGGAGTTAGACTCCCCAGTGATCTTTCTAAGTCATTCACAATGCGGTTGTCCCTTTGAACCTAGATCTTGGGATCTCCAGTCAACTAGGTTGGGTTGCCGTTGTGGTAACTCTTATTTAATAGGCTTTAGTCTCATTCCTCTCGATGAATTCTCAATTAACTCTCTTGCTAACCCTTTGGTTAGTGGATCTGCTATATTGTCTTTAGACTTAATATATTCTATGAAAATAATTCCATCAGAGAGTAGTTGTCTTACGGTATTATGTCGGCGACGAATGTGTCGAAACTTACCGTTATACATATGACTCTGTGCTCTACCAATTGCTGATTAACTATCGCAATGTATGCATATAGCAGGCACCGGTTTTGGCCATATTGAAATATCTTCAAGGAAGTGGCGAAGCCATTCTGCCTCTTCCCCAGCTTTATCTAAAGCTATGAATTCGGATTCCATAGTAGACCTAGCAATACAAGTCTGTTTGGAAGATTTCCAAGAGACAGTCGGCCCACCAAGAGTAAAGACATACCCACTGGTGGATTTCGAGTCTCTAGTATCCGATATCCAAAGTTGCATCACAGTATCCTTCAAGTACTGCTGGATATCTAGTATAATTAAGCCCAATGTTATGCGTAAATCGGAGATATCTTAGAACCCTTATAATTGCTTTCCAGTGTTCTACTCCCGGATTACTCATATATCTATTTAATTTACTTACTGCAAAAGCTATATCTGGGCGAGTGCAGTTCATCGAGTACATTAAGCTTCCAATAATTTGGGTATACTCTAATTGAGAAATACTATCCTGTACATTCTTAGAAAGATACAAATTAACATCTACAGGTGTTCTAGCAAGATGATCATCATCTTTGCTGAATTTGTCAAGTATTTTCTCAATGTAATGAGATTGTGACAAAGCATATCCTTCTGATGTTTTGGTAATTTTCATACCAAGAATTACATCAGCAATGCCCATGTCCTTCATGTCAAAATGTTTATTCAACATGTTCTTAGTAATTTTAATCATATCATTATTACTACCTATGATGAGCATATCATCTACATAAAGACATACAATGACATAACCTTTGTCTGTGTTTTTAATATAAACACATTTGTCACACTCATTTGTTTTAAATCCATTTGACATCATTGGCTTGTCAAATTTCTCATGCCATTACTTTGGCGCTTGTTTTAAACCATATAATGATTTAACCAATTTACACACTTTCTTTTCTTTCCCTGGATCAGAAAACCCTTCTGGTTGTTCCATGTAAATTTCTTCATTTAACTCACCATTTAAGAAAGCGGTTTTAACATCCATTTGATGAATTTCTAGATTGTATAGAGATGCAATGGCAATTAGCATTCTAATAGATGTTATTCTAGTAACCGGTGAGTACGTGTCAAAGTAATCAAGACCTTCTTTTTGTATAAACCCTTTGACCACAAGTCTTGCCTTGTATTTGTCAATTGATCCATCCGCTTTCTTTTTTTTTTTGAAAATCCACTTGTACCCAAGAGGTTTACAACCTGGTGGCAAATCCACCAATTTCCAAGTGTGATTTTGCAAGATGGATTCAACTTCACTATTGACAGCTTATTTCCATAAAGGAGCTTCAGGACTGGACATAGCCTCTTTAAAAGTTAAAGGCTCATTTTCTAACAAAAATGTTAGGAAATCTGGACCAAAAGGCT